CCCCACCTCCCCCGCCTTCTTCATTCATGGGGGTTGCCGAGGCTAGGGTTTGGGGCGGGTGTGGAATTCTTGTTTTGCCAACGAGTAGATTGCGATGGTTTAGGGAGTGCGTTCCCGCCCGAACGTCACCGCCGGAAATGTATGTTGGCCGGCTCCGTCACCTCCTAGAGTCTCCCGCCATCGCACTGGGCCGGATGCAGCCTCACTCCTCACCCCCTCCGCGAACATGACACAGCCGGGCTCATTGAAGAGTATAACTCTTCTGTTCAAGCGGGCTCAGCACAGCAGGCAGCTCGAACTCAAACCGCTCTTTGCCAGAGAAACTACGCCAGGTGAGTGGAAAGCAGGTGGCGGAAAACGGTCCTCAAAGGCCCGATAAAAGACAGGGGCGCAGCGGAGCGGATGGTCTGGTGGGGCCGGCGGGTCGAGATAGTGACAACTTGACTGAAACCAGCAAGTCACAGAACAACCAATTTAGCATTGATGGAATTTTTTTTTGTACTGTAACTTTTGATTGTGCTGCTAATGTTCCGCAAGTGGCACAGGTATGACCACAATACGACCAAGGGCGTAGTAAGAGTCGACCAAGACGGGGAGGGGCAGGGTTAGCGCAACTTGCCCAAATACAGGGATTTTGAATCTCAAGTTGCCTACCTTCCAGACGGCTATCTAGGACCGACAGAGCGGTGCCCCCCCCCCCCCCCCCCCCCCCCCCCCCCCCCCGCGGGCCCCCCCACCTCACTTCCTTAATACGCGCCTGAACAGAACACGACCCTGCCAATGCCGTGCGTCGGGAAGCAGATAGTGTCGAGGGAAGTATCGAGGTGATTCAGAGACCCAAACCCCCCTCCCGTTTTCCTCCGGGATAGATGGACATTAAGGGCCGATGTCCCCCCCCCCCTTTCTGGCCTGGGTGTTGCGCGGCCCGCATCATACAGATGACCGCTGCTGCGAACTGACCGATTGCCTCGCTGATTGCCTCTCCTTCAGGAGGCACCTTATCAGACTGATGGGCGTGTGGAGATGGTCTCACGCGCGCTGCAGACGCACGTCCAACATCCCGCCCAACACAGTCGTCAACAGGGTCCTCAATGACCCTCATTTGACGTCAAAATGAGCTCAATCTGGCTACCTAGCTGCGGTAGACCCTGACCATGGGCGTCAAAATGAGGTCATTGAGACATCATTTTGACAAACATGTTTTACCTGGGTGTGTCCTGCAGGGTGGTCTCGCAAGGGCCGCCCTACCTGTTCCCATGTTTACGTATGTAGGACTAAAACGTCACTATAAAGGTTACATTTTCAGAGGAAAAAAATCGGCCCGTTGTCATGTTGTGTCAAAAACTTAAATTTGACCTATTGGTGACCATTTTGTGTTACTTGGGGTTGGAGCGGATGGGACGAATATCCAGCCCGCACTGGTAAATCCTCGCCAAGGATTGTGCTGCAAATGAAATCTTTAGCACTTTGATCGAAACGACTAAGCAGTAACAATCGTTTGCGAAATCAGTGTGACATGCAGAGCGTGAAGTGAGCGATGCTCGCAGTTCTATTTCAAGTGCGACTCGGCGGACGCAGCACACAGCCACTCGAACAAGTTCCAATCACATAACGACCACAGTGACGTCGTCATAGAGATTGGCCCAAACCAGCCCAAACCCTGGATCGCTTTAACGCCGGTCATCAAATCTGTAGGCAGGGCCATAGCAACTACTTCCTCACGAAATTTTGGCGCCGTTCGCTGTGGGCACGGGCACAACTCTCTCCTCTTCAAGTGATCGTATTTTACTCTTTAGGTTTGTTTGTTCCCTACCGATTAAGCAAAGGAACGACCGGGCGACGGCGCGCGGGCGGGACCGCCTTTGTGCACAAGTTGCCGTGGAAACAAAAAGAAAGAAAACAAAAGAAGCAACAGGAAACCCGGCCGATCGGATGAGTCGGCCGGCGTGTGCGCAGGAAAATGCATGATGCCGCGAGAGATCGTCGTCACCGGCGCGAGACGAGACAGGCGGTGTCCCTGTGATAGTGGATGAGGGCCGTGGGGGGCGATACGGCAGATAAGGCGCACTGACCGCGAAAAGGTGCGCGGGGTGGCGTCAGTCAGTAGGAGCCCGCCTGTGCACGCCAGCACGCACCCGCACGCGCCCAGCAGCCGACAAACACACTGGTAATGACAGGGAGCCCCCTCACAGTGACACCACACCACTAAGAATTGAGAGTGGCGTCTTTTGACGCCAAGTTTTCGTGTTCCCCGCGAGAACGCCAAATATTAGCGTCTTTGAGCGGCCAAAATTTTGCGTCAACTAAGGGAACACAAAAAATTTGCGTCTTACGACGTCAAAATTTGGTATATGAACGCCAATGTTTAGGCGTCTAAAGACGCCAACCGGTGTGGAGCTCCACTACTTGACGCGACATTTTTCTCAATTAGAAAAAACAACCGCAGTGCCCAAGTTTTCGCTCCGGAGGGGTTTGTTGGCATATGCAGTTTTTTGAAAAGAAAATTTCGTGTCCAGTGTTTAAATTTATATGAAAAGTATTGATGTTAGCTTTGCAAAACAAACTCTTCACAGTTTCTTTAAAAATAAAAAAAGCTTTTAGTACCAGAATACTACAATAAATGTGTTCCACCAGTTTACTGAACTGTAAATCTAGGGTGTGCATCACTGTGAATAATTTCGTCGTAAATTTACAAAATATTTTGTATCTAATACTTACAAAATATGTTGTAAATTTATGAGACCCCAATGTTGCTGTTGCTCGTCGCTGAATTTTAAGTCGATACCTTGTGCTTGTTAATGCTACATTTTTGAATTTAAGTCGCACAGTTGTTGGCTCGACACCCCTATCTATCGGGTGTCGATAGTTACTATAGTTTTGCGTCCCTGCACTGAAATCCGTTTTGTGATACTTTTACTCAATTTTTGGGATAACTGGTGTTTTGCGATTCCCACGCTAATGGGCATGATAACTCCAAAAAATGTGATAAAAGTATCACATTTTTGTAATAAAATCATCACTAAAAATATAATAAAATAGTTTTTGTGATAATTTTATCTCAATAATGTGATACTTTTATCGCAGTTTTTGGACTTATCATGCCCTTTAGCGTGGGAATCGCAAAACACCAATTATCGCATGGTTTTGTGTTAAAAGTATCGCAAAACCAGACTCAGTGTGGCTCATGCTCCGCTTCTCCACGCAGCCGGCCGACATGACTCTCTGTGGGCGCTTGGCCCGCGCGGGCCTGTGGCTCGCGCTCCTGGCCGTCGCTCTGGAGGCCGTGACCGCGACCGAGTACTCGCCGCCTCTGCTCAACCACAGCTACGTGGCGCGCGCCGCGTACGACGACCACGCCATGCAGACGCTCTACAACATCGCGCGCAAGGTCCTCAGGGGAGTGCAGAGGCCCGCCCCTTTCCCCCCAGGTACGGACTGAAACGTTAAATGTCTACGTCGTCGAGTTGGCGATGTGCGCGGGCACTCCACTTAAGTAAATTCAGTGCACACCCAGAAACAAAACAAAAAGTAAAAAAATAAATACAGCAAAACTCGAGGAAAAATCCAGAGAAATATTCAAGAGAAAACGTAAAAATTAGTGTGCGCTTGAATTTATAGTGAGGAACCCCTTGGGTGGTGGTCCCGGTCGGTGTATAGGGATTTGGGAAGTCTACGGGTAGGTTCTCCAGGGCGACACGAGGGCCCTCCGTGCTCCCCCATCCCCTCCACGGCGGGCCGGCCGCCCCGCACGGCTGCGTGACGGGTCGGCCTACCCGACGCGTTGCAGGCGTTACGCCAGGCCACCGTGCAGCGTGCAGCCGAGCACAGAGAGGCCATTTAAAAACTGAAATGGGCCGCTATAGTAGTAGGACTCTCCGTCACTGTGGCGGCAGGCGAAGAAATCAGAAAACAACGCCAAACTGTACGCCAGCGCCAGGGGTCACAGATATCAGATATCGACCACTACCGTAGTCAGTGCGAGAGATGCAGACTCATGGCCACGAGCTTCGGACAACCTTTCCTTAAACACATTCACGCAGTGCTTACCGCGCAAATCTCCAGTAAATTAGCCAACCGCAAGTGCGAGTGCGTAAGACCCTGAGAGAAAGGCCCATATCCCCGCGGAGAGCCATGAGCCATGTGCCAGGGTGACCATAGACCATCGCACAGGGGCCTACGCACTCGCATTTGCTAATTTAATATCAGATTATCGTTACAAAACATGTGCCAAAGTTCTAGCAAAGATGGTCCGTGGCTGATGGCCATGGCTCAGTAGACGGCGAACACCTGGTAGAGCTCGATCGCTTCGACAAACATTTATATTTCAGTTTGTTTGCCACTTATTGACGCAAATTCAACCATTGACCCTTAGATAGAAATTAATACAACCCACACAAGTTAATGCAATATAACCACTGGCTTATACATGTTTATATTTGGCAGTTAACACGTTCACTGCCAGGCCAATATTAATGGAAAAGTGCCCGAACTCACGGTGGTCGTGCGGCACCAGGGTGCCAACAAGTGAACGACCTCTGGTGTGGTCGTGTGGCATCCCAGGGCTAGTACAACCACCTGGTAGTCGTATGGCACTTAGAGACTTGGAGTGTACGACCAGTGTGGTCGTATACCACCGTGTGGTCGTATGGCACTCAACACTATTATCCTACGACCACCGTGGTCGAAGGCCAATGGTGTTGAGTGCCGTACGACCACATGGTGGTCGTAGGTCCCGTGTCTTGAAATACGACCATCATGTTGTCGTCCAAGACAAACCCTTGAGTGCCATATGGACACCTATAGTTGTCGCATCTTTATCTCCGATCCACAGTCCAAAGGCGGGGTTTTGATTGTCTACCCGAGACACCTCCAAGCCAGACATATTTTTGGTCTAGCATAAACCCCTAGGGTTTGAGAAATTAAAACTTAAAATTACCTATTTGGAAACATGGTGGTCGTGTGGCAGTGAACGGGTTTTAATGAATCCTTAAATATAACGCAATAAACTTTTATGAACTCTTAGCAAATTGACTTGAGAACAACGTCCCTAAATATAAAACAAATTTAAATTATGTTTGTGCGGTTGATTAAGTTGCAAAAACTTGCGTTACACGGGAGCTCTAGAGAGGGTCCCCCTGGGTGCCTCTAATGGGCGTTGTGACGATGGTTCGCCTTGTCTTTACCAGCTGCAGTGCTGCACCCATCGAGAAGTGAGTCAAGCATTTTCCGACGTTCGCAATCGAGCCTCGGCGAGCTTTATCTCCTAAAGCCTTTTAAAATACTCTCCGTGTCCAAGTGTCATATCTACAGCAGGAGCATTTTAAGTGCAACCGTTACCCCCCCCCCCCTTTCCCCTCTCTTTCCCGACTAATAAAACCTAAGATCTACCCACGCAATGCCGTGCACCAACTCATGGTTCTCACCGAAACTTGTTTGCGCAGCAGGGAGCAATGCCAAACTCAAGTGTGCGAATGTCGCACACTTACAGGTGTGTGAACGCCATTTTTGCACATGGGGAATGGAGGCACACGTCTGGGAATGTCAATGGAAAATTCACTCCCTTTACTCTTATTACTTACTAAAAAGATTGGTCTTCATATTATGATGAATTGGGTTTGTAACGTACATAGAGGATTTGGGACCATCATATTACAAACAGATTTTCTTTGTTTTACAAAAAAAAAGAGCACTAGACTTCGTATTACAAAGCCGAATCCCCCGTAATGCAAAGGATTTGTTTGTATTACAAAGGTTCCAAACCCTTTGTACGTGACAAAGCTCTTCGTGAGAAACTTACAGTGTTTGATACGAATGTGCGTTCACACACCTAGGAGTGTGCCACATCCACACACTTGCGTTCACAGTGCGTGATGGGCGGTCTGTTGTAATCGGTTCCAGGCCTGTTCGTCGTTGAGGGCGACCGGATCGAGACGAAGCTCGACGGCACGGCGGACGTGATCTCGTACTACGGCGGGGTTGTGGCTATAGTCGTGGTGGGGCTCATCGTGGCCGTGGCGGTACCCTGCGGCGGCTTCCTCTGGTGCCTCTGCGGGGGCGGCTGCAAGTGCAGCTCGGGCAAGGTCCACAAGAGGGGCGGTCGTCCCCAGCAGAGCGACGCAGAGCTGGACCACGCGGAGCACCGGGAGCCCGGCCCCTGCTTCGTGCCGGCCGCGCTCGGGGTCACGGCATGCGTGATCGCGTGAGTTGTGAGCAGACCTCTCTGTCTGTCTGTCTCTGTCTCTCTCTGTCTCTGTCTAGAACAAGAGTGCAATTTTGCAGATTTTAAGTGATCTTCCCTGCTTATAACACACTTTATGGGGCGCACAACATATTCAAAGTCTGAACGTTTGGAAAGTGTGCAAAGTATAGACGCTCGTTTACACACTGGTCTTAATAAAAGTAAAGAAAAAGGCATACCAAATGTCAAAAGTTGCACACCAGGTGGTTTGCTTCTGACTCCGGAAGTGTGCATAAAGTCTGCACATTTGAAAAGCACACCATTGGTGTCCAGCTTCTTCATTTGTTCCACCAGAGTAACTTTTGGCCTGATTTCAGAGCGGGAGCCTGTCTGACCCTTGCAACCAACGCGTACATGGACAAAGGGATCATTGCCTTCCCAAACCATATATCAACAGGGATCGATGACGTCACGCTTTTCGCCGACAATTCTATTGTGGTAAGTGAATCCTAATCGGGACACGGAAACTCTCCTTAGTGAGAGATTTTATGCTCAAAATGCGGCAATTTGAGCAATTTCGCTTAGTCCAATCAAAGCGAGAACTTTTGTACTCGCCGTACTTGAGTCACATTCACCGAATTCTTACTCTAAGGGAGTGAGATTTTCCTAGCCTCGCCCATTGTCGTGAGGCACCTATTGTGTGAGGACCAATAAATATAACTAACTCGAACACTGAAAACAAAAATATTTCTCTCAGGAGAGCGATTTTTTTAGGGTCGCAGATCTAACCCTCCTGAGAGCAAGATATCTGACTAGCATTTACTGAAAGCCGAATGGTCACTAAACAGATGTTTCCCAATTTCTAAAAATATGTGTTTGTTGCAGGAAGTCAATACCTTCTTTGAAAACAATTACGATGAGCTGTCGGACGCATTAAACTTAGTTCTATCTAGTGAGTAAAACATTTGTTTACGCGAAAAACAACAAAACGATTTCCATTAATTAGACATTTTAATTTAGAAAACCGAAGAAAGGCAGTCTCATGAAACACGATTGACTCTGACTTACAGGTGGCAACAAGTCTATTTCTAGCATAGTAAACAATATCTACAAAGCATTGCCTGTAGAGACTCTGAATACAATTTCAAATGGATTGGTTGATATTTCAAAGGACTTGACAGATATAAGCAAAAACGGCGGGGAAGTTGTAAAACAGTCACAAGATATTGCAAAGGGTGAGTTCGTCAACCCAACAGTCGACCAAGGAAGAGTGAAGTCTGTCTGGGCACGAGGAAGTGTGTGCCTACTAGGTCATCTGATGGAAGGAGTAAACCTGCAATACAGAGACATATTGTAATGCCTGCAGGTACTTTTTAACAGAGTACTAGAGGTGCTAGATCTAATAATTCTTTTGTTCTAGTGGTGAAAGAAGTTAAAGATAGCATTTCTACAAAATGTCCTGGCTCCGCCTGTCAGACCATTATTGATGCTCTCGACACCCAGACGTTCCCTGCGGTAATACATTAAGGACCCTCACCGCTCAGGGGGAAACATACGTGTCAGCTCCTAACAACGTATATCGTCGTGTTTCAGCTACCCGATTTGTCGACGAGTATTAGCTCCCTGAACCCCTTTGTCGACGCTTCGTTTAAATCGTCCCTAGAAGCAGGCGTGAAACAGGTCGACGAGATGGCTGACAAAGTAAGTGGTAAAACCTGTGAGCAATTAGCCACTTTAACCAGTCTGCAATGAAATAGACGTACATTTTGTTGAAATCGTGGCCCTTAATTTGATCATATTTTGACAAATTTTCGTCAAATTGGATTGGTCTTGACATATTTATTAAGGCCAAATCACACTCCAAATTTTTTCAAACGATATCGTTTTGACATCGCGACGCATCCTACGAAAAAAGTTCGATCTCCCCGGCGTATCGCTCCAACAAAGTTCGATCTCCCTTATTTTGGGGTTCGTAGCGAGGTGGAAGTTCAAACACCTCGTACGTCAATTCATGAAGACAATAGAATTTTATTACTGCTACAGTAAATTTCGTAATCTTTTAGAATCAAATAGAATCTATCGGTTTCCTTTTAAGTGGATTATCAACGAAGATAGTCCGGTTTGAAGCCTACGGTGCAGATAAAAGCTGAAAAGGAGATTGAACTTTGTTAGAGCGACACACCGGGAGATCGGACAATGTTGAACGGCGCGCCGGGAGATCCAACATCGAACTTTGTTCGTAGGAAACGTCGAATGTTTTCACGTCTTAGCAGTACCATGGCGGGGCTAGAATCAACGGTTTCTCGACAAACGACGCGTCGTTTTGATGTCGTTTCGACGTCGTTTATCGAGAAGCCGTTGAGTCGAGCCCCACTATATTACCGCTGACCGCTAAACGATGCTGTCAGAAAAAATTCTGACCGGGAACTAACTATTTTTCTAGGCCAATCAATACGTCGATGAAACTATCAAGTCAATTAATTCAGAAATAGTAAAAACGCGCCAAGAACTACAAAAGACGTCAAAGGAACTGATCGAGCAGGTCCAAAGCGTTAAAGACTCTATTAATGATATTAATGACAAAGTGGATAGCATTTCTGACGATTTTGAGAAGTATGACGGTTACAAGTAAGTGCATACACCCTGCGTCCATAATTGCCTGAAGCTTTTTATTTTGACTTTATTAACCTATTTTTCACATCATTAGAAATGGTGGACTCATCGTTGTGGGATTGGTTTATATGTTAATTGCAGTAGCAATCATGTTTGGACTGGTGAGCGGCTGCTGTTCAAAGCACAATTCATACGCAATCCTAAAATTGTAAGTACTCAGTCACTTTCAAACGAATGCATCGTGAGTTGCCTAAATACAGGCGCGTGGTGCGTATTTTCAGGCGTCTCATCTAGCTGAACTGGCGGTTTTGTGTACTTTAAAAGCATACATTTTTTCGGCAATCCAAAACCTTTTATCAGAAGTTGTAATTTCTTGATTCTAACAATTATTTCTTTTCTAAACCGCCAAGGCCCACCTGGTTCATATTTTTGACAACATTTGTGCTGATGATCTTCACGACAGCCGCGTTTTTGGTAGGTCTGGTCGGCGACCGTGTCTGTGAAGCTGTGCGCGAACCAGAAAACAACGAGATCATAAATCTCTTTGATACTTTGATTACAAAGACGCAGTCCGACAAGCATGTTACTGGTAACATAACATACTATATTAGGTAGGTTAACAGGCTGCTGTCCACTGTCGGTATGTTGCGTTGCCGCGCAGGGGCCGAGGAAGGCGCGAAGACTTGAGAATGACGCCCGCCTCCCTCAGTGCCAGGGTGCGAGCCAGCAAGTAGGCAACACGGTAAATGCAACGTCTGATTTTTTTTCAGGAAAAAGGGAAGGGAATAATTTCCCAGAGGGAGTTTTTCTCAAATATGTGGGTTCCTCAAAGTGTTCCATTTTTTTCTGAAAGAATCAGACATTCTCACTGTGCAAAATAGTTGTGGTTTTAGGGAAAATTTTCCCTGAAGCGTGTCGTAAAATTTCAATTCAAAATTGTAAAATTACAAGCACTATATATCGACTTGGAATTTATCGACGAGCAAGTTTGAGGGGTCATCGAGGGTTTCATAAATTCACAAAATATTTTAAATGTTAACTACAAAATATATCGTAAATTTACGACGATATTTTTCACAGTGGTTTTTACCGTGAACCTGACATGCCGACATGTCTTAGCCGCACCTAATGTAATGCACGAATACAAACCGCGCATGGATAAAAAATAATGAGATTTTATTTTATTCTTTTAACAGAGCTTGCCAAAAAAATGAGACGATATACAACGTTTTAAATTTGGATTCAACGGTCAAAATCGACGAAATTCACGATTTAGTTAATAAATTTAAGTTTGACGATTTTTTGACAAAAATAGAGAAAGCCCAAGATAAAATTAAAAATGCCAATCTGATACCCGAGGATATTAAACAAGAACTGGACCAACTAGAAAACTCCGATTTGGCAAATCTAAATCTTGACGACATAAAAAATAAGGTAACATCTTATTGGTAAAATGTAGAAATAGAAGTACATTACAGAATCAAAATGGGTTACAATTTTAAGGAGTTGTATGACACTGCGAAACTAACGCGTGCTTGATCATAGGTCCAAACTGGAAATGGTATTGTAGGAAAGCTAAATCCAACGGAGTGGGCATCCGAATTGGAACAGATCGGTCAGCAGGCGAAGGTAAGATGTGAACTATAATGCCAAACGACTTGTATAAGTAACCAAAGTCATATTTAATATTTCTTATTTGTCTCTTTTTGTTTATTGAAAACAGTACATTCTCATTAATTTTACAGGTGGACTTCACAACTGAAACGGAAAAGCTACGAGGGCAAGAATCCAACGTCAAATTACTTCAATCAACCGTAGCTGAATTGACAAGAGTAGTTGAAAAGCTCGAAAAGGACTCTCGTTTAGGAGCCGACAACTTTTTGGTGGCTTTGAAGTCACTGGTATCTCAAATACAGGACGCTGAAAAATCAGTTAAGGCAGTAGACTTTGTCCCGGTGAGCATACAACAGAAGAAAATGTCATTCTTTTACCAAAGTAATGTTTGCGCAAAAAATTATTAGGTAACACAATTCTACCAACTAAAGCGGATGCCCAATCTTTTAGGTAGCCGACCAAACTGCGACAAAGTTCAAGGGAGAAGTGGACCAGTACCTTACGTATGTGATATCACGCGTCAAGAACGACGCCCTCCGGTGCGGCCCTCTCAGCCGTGTCTTCGACAGTCTAGTTGTGGCGTCCTGCGACGAAGTACTCGGCCCTTGGGTGAGTCGAGAGAAAGTCTGGTGTGTGTGTGGGGGGGGGGGGGCGACGCTCGCGGGAGGCTGAGAGCCCCTGCAAACCACGTGGTAGGCACTCCCGCACGGCACGCCTGCTCGACGGGACTGCATACCCACCAGGCGTCTCACTTGACTTGACTTGGCCACCCGAGCAAAGTAATTCAGAGAGGGGACTGGAGCCAATTTTTTTTTCCCCGGGCTGGTAATACTAGGCGCACGCAGAATTACAAAAACCGCGTGCGCATAACAAAAAGCTTTTCAGGTATTTCTGTATTTGCACGACGCGTGTACGATTATCCTAAAACGAGGCGAAGGCATCGTGCAAATAGGTGAAAATAATTATTTAAACGCATTTTCATCCTGATCTTATCGAGACTTAAACCTGGAACTCTAAAATAGACGTGCACGCCCTTCTCCACTCGTCCAGCGAATACGGCTGGCAGACAGCGCGTTCTGTACCCTCTATGAACTACCGCCCGCCGCAGGCCCCTGGAAGATATCCAGTTAGCGTAAAAGTGAGGAAAAGTGAGAAGTGAAGTGAGGCCGAGTGAGGTGAAGTGAGGCTGGGC